CACCGCCTGACTTTCCCCATGGCAGCCCTTTGATTGGCCGCTTCCCCCTTCCTGAAAGTTGTATCATTGGGTATTCAATAAAAAAAGGAAGTAAAGTTAAAAACAAAAGAATAAATGCTCCGCTTTGTTGGGCGTTCAATAATGGCTTCATATCACGTGACCTCAGCTGCACTTTAAATTGAACCATCATTTTCCAAACGAAAGCTTGAGGAAAAAACAGCTAATCATCTCGGACTATCCTCTCGATTGGTTTTGTGCAACTCAACTCTACTGCAACCGAATACAACCATCGTCTTGCTTTGATATGATCGATTTTCTCCCTCTTGGTTCATGTCTTTATTGGGAAACTCCGTTGATTGTGCAGTAAATTGGGCCTATGTTTACAGCAAGGCGCTTGCACTAGTGAAGGACTGAATCATCGGATTTATGCGCCTCTCGATTAAGTTGCCTCTGGGCTTCAATTAAATACCACAAGCTTTCGAATATTTCATCCGATTTGGGTATGGTGACACAACAAACGAGCCACCCAGCTCAACGTCAACTTTCAAAAGTAAACTTGTATGTTTCTTGGACTAAATTTCCAGTTCTTTCCGTATTGTGGATAATGTGTGGGCAGTCAGTAGCCGAATAATTTATCAATCTATTTCCGCCAGAATATTTTCATTAATTTGGTTATTTAATGTGTGCTGAATGAAAGGAGATAATCACTTTAGAACACGTGTGTTCAACTTGATAAACACTGTCATGAAACAGGAATCATTTATTAAAACGGAGGAATCCCTATGCTGCTCTGCTTAAAATAATTTCGAACTGTCGGTTGTAACTTTCGAACTACAACAAATTTTATCGCAACACTCCAGGTCACGCAAATTCCGACGGTGATAAGGGATAACTAAGAACATGGATGTAGAAGATGAAATCAAAAATAAATACACTTGACTCAAAACCATCCATATACAAGTGTTTTATTGTAGATTGAAATATATTTACAAAATGAGGGTGATGGATTTTTCACGAGTTTGATCAGCAGCTGTATAGAAATTCCCTGCACTCGTCAGAACTTTAGCTCGTTCTACTTTTGGACACATTGTACAGTTGCGAATAGCAGCAGCAGTCTATTTTATTTTCATTTTTTTTCAAAATAATTTAAATATAGGTACCCAAATTATCGATCAAAGTGTCTTGTTTATTGTTCTTATGTTTTCTCTTTCGCCACGCACGGGCACGTTTTTATTCCACTTTTTCTGCTATGGGAATTCGCTATTTTCGCTATGCTTCATACCCGCGTTATGACAGCGTGCGCAAGGAAGCGAACTGCGCAACACCAACTGGAGCATTTCGAATTCCACCACTATTTTGTGAAAGCCGATGTACGGAAATAACTATGGTCCGAGGTTCGAGCTCCCCCCCCCC